TCTGCCAAAAAAAAAAAAAAAAGAATGCCTGATGAACGAATAAATTAAATGGAGAGATATTTCATGACATGAATGGGAAGACTCGATGTTGCCCAAATGTTAGTTCTTGTCAACCTGATATATAGGTCAAACCCAATCACAATCAAAATTTCAGAAAGTAACTTCATGGATTTCGACCAATGGATTCTAAAGTCTATATGGAAAAATGAAAGACCCAGAGTAGCCAAAACAATTTGTTTATTGATTATGAATGTTCATGAGATACAAAGCTGAATGTCACCCCTCGTGCACAAAATATGAAAGCCAAATTCTTAGTGACAGCCTGCCCATGCCAGTAGAACATCAAAGAAGAACATTGTTGGAGGACCAACATCGTGTGACTTTAAGTCCTTCTGTGAAATAACAGTTATCAAGACAGTGTGGTATCAGTGACAGAACAGACAAATAGTTCATTTAAAGAGGATACAGAGCAAGAAATAAATCCACATAAAAATAGGCAACAGATCTTTGATAAAAGATGAGAAAAAATACAATGGAGAAAATAGTGTTTTTTAAACAACTGGTACTGAAACAAGGTGGCATCCATTTGCAAAATATAATAATAATGCATGTAGACACAGAAATTGCATACTTCATAAAATAAAATTAAAGTGGTTCTCAGCCCTAAATGTAAAATTCAAAACCATGAAACTACATAAACGAAGCACAGAAGAAAATCTAGATGACCTTATGTTTAATGACTTTTTAGATACAACACTAAGGGCACAGTTCATCAACAAGAAATAATTAATAAAATATTTTTCATTTAAATTTAAAATGTCCTGTCACAAAAGTTACTGTCAAAACTATTTTTAAATAGATAATGTCAAAACAATTTTTAACAGTATTATAAAGATAGAAAATATTGAAAAAGATATAACTGATGATTGGCTGTTATCCAAAATACAAAAATAAAATTTAGAAACTCGAAATGTATTTTTAAAAAATACAAATGTTTTTGATTGAAAATTAGGCTATAAACCTTTCTAGGTACCTGACCAATAAATATAGACAGATGGTAAATAGGGATTTTTAAAATGCTGCACACCATACGTAGTTGGAAAAATGGAAATTAAAGCAATAATTTGATACCATTATGCACCAACTAGAATGGCCAGAAGTCAGAACACATGAAATTGCCAAATTCTGGGGAGGTTGAGGACCAACAGAAACTCTTGTTTATTGCTGGTGGGAGTAAAAAATGTTACAGTACTTTGGCAGTTTCCTACAAAACTAAACATAATATTAGGAATAATCCAGCCATCACACAATTTGTTGCATTCCCAAAGAACCTGAAAACATTTCCACACAAAGCAGTGCACATGCATGTTTATAGCAATTTTATTTATAAAGCTACCAAGTTGCTAAAACTTGGAAGCAAACAAGACACCCTTCAGTAGGTGGATGATTAAATATAATCTTGTACATTTAGACAATGTACTATAATTCAGCACTAAAATGCACTAAGTTATTAAGCCATGAAAATACATTGGGAAACATGGATTCATTTTACTAAGTGAAAAAAGCCTGTATGGAAGATTATAAACTGCATTTACATATTACATAATGAAATAACAGAAAGAGAAATAAACTAAGCCCATTTACAATTTTCACACAAAAAAATAATAAGATACCTACAGATCAACTTAACCAAGGATGTGAAAGACCACTACAATGAGAACTACCAACCACTTCGGAAAGAAATTTAAGAAGACACAAATAGATGGAGAGATATTCCATGCTCTTGGATTGAAAGAATTACCATTGTGAAAATGTTTATATTAACCAAAGTGTTCTACAGATTCAATGCAAACCCCATCAAAATACAAATGACATTCTTCTCAGAAATGGGAAAAAACGACCCTACCTTTCATATGGAAAAACAAAAGACCCCAAATAGCCAAAGTAACTCTGAGCAATAAAAATAAAGGCAGAGACATAACACTACCTGACTTCAAATTATACTACAAAGCTAATATAATGAAAACAGCATGATACTGGTATAAAAATAGACGTTCAGACCAGTGGGTTAGAATTGAGAACCCAGAAATCACCCCTCAGGCTTATAGCCATCTGATATTAGACAAAGGCAACAGAGAACTACATTGGGGAAAGGACTGTCTCTTTGACAAGTATTGCTGTGGACACTGGATATCCATGTGCAGAAGAATGAAACTAGATATGCATCCCTCACCACACACTAACACCAACTCAAAATGGATTAAAGACTTAAGCATAAGACCTGACACTGTAAAATTACTAAAGGAAAATATGAGTGACACACTTCAGCTGTTAGTTCAGGGCACAGGCTTTATGAACGTGAGCCTGTAAGCACAAGCAGCAGAAGAAAAAAATAAACAAATGGGACAATATGAAACTAAAAAGTTTCTGAACAGCAAAGGAAACAATCAACTGTGTGAAAAGGCAACCTACAAATTGGGAGAAAATTTGTGCTAACTATGCATCCAACGAGGGATTAATGTCCAAAATATGCATAGAACTCAAGCAATTATAAAGTGGAAAAGCAAATAACCCACGTAAAAAATGGGCAAAGGAGCTGAATAGACAGTTGTCAAAGGAAGACATACAAATGGCCAACAGATATATGAACAAATGCTCAACATCACTAGTCATCAGGGAAATGCGAATTAAAATTACATTGAGATACCAACTCACCCCAGTTAGACTGGCTATAATCACAAGGATGGTGAATAACAAATGCTGGCGAGGATGGGGACAGAAGGGAACACTGCTGCACTGTTGGTGGGACTGTCAGTTAGTACTAACTCTTTGGAAAATAGTATTGAGGTTTCTCAAACTACTACAAGTAGAACTACCATATGATCCAGCAATTCCCCATCTGAGTATATACCCGGAGTAATGGAAATCATCATGTCGAGGGGTTACCTGCTCTCCCATGGTCACTGCAGCTCTTTTTACAGTAGCCAAGACATGGAACCCACTTACATGTCTATCGATGGATAATTGGATAAGGAAACAGTGGTATATATATGCCATGGAATACGACTCTGCCATAAAAAAGAATGAAATATTCCCATTTTCAAGAAAACCAATGAGCCTGGTGAAACTTATGTTGTGTTAAATAAGCAAAGTACAGAGGGATAATTGCTGCATGTGCTCAGTCATATGTGTGAGCTAAGAGAGAAAGGAAGGAAAGAAAGACCACAGTGGTGTGTTGGACTTGCAGAGGGAGAGAACATTCCTAGGGCTACAGTGCAGATGGGGGGAAAGGTGGAGGGTGAGGGTGGCTGGTTTACAAGTGTGTGGAGGACAAGGGGTACAAAATTAATTTTTGGTAATGGGTATGGCTCCAGCATGAATCTGGCCCTCACATCATGGGCACATGGATTGACAATTAGCATTGTAATTTACGAGTACTTATAGAAGAAGAAAAGAAAAGAAAAGGACTGTGTTCACTGGTTCACCTATAAATATACGGATGACGTGTTTTAAGAAATATCCTTCTACATCCTGTCCTGAAACAGACAGGTAAAGTCAGCAACTCCTGACTCCTAAAGTGGGAAAAAGTGATGTAGAAAGTGATGAAATTTACCTGGATTTACTGTGTTGGGAGGCTTTTGGGAGGCAGGTCCCGGTGGGAAACCACAGTTTCTGAGGGAAAACCCTCCATGCCTTCCACTGCAGCTGCCCTGAGCTCGACCTGCTGGGTGTGTCCACAGTGCTCCGTGGAGGTCCCCTGTTCTCCTGCAGGGGGATGTGTCTGGACTCACACTGCCTCTGCTTCTCTTGCACAGTACCACACAGCCATGTCCTCGGCCATCTTGGAGCTGACTGCAGGAAAAACTGTTTTTTACACACATCTCTGGAGATGAAGACTCAATTCTTGACGGACAGGCTACAGTGTCATTTCTCATAAGGACAAATGAAGCTCATCCGCTACAGCCCCTACTCAAGGGCTCAGAGGATCAATTCAAAGCAGAAACCACTGGTTGTGATAAAGAATCCAGCGACAGCACAAGTAAAGGAGAGTCTCTCCAACGGCTTCACCACTGTTGAGCCCAACTCCTGAACCTGAACCTGAAGAAAGACACTTGGGAATAGAGAGAATCAGTCTCTTTCAGTCATGTACACTCACAGCCATCCCCAGTGACTCATGTCTGACAACTGAGACACTCCCTTTGGGGAGCTGTCACCAGGCAATGAAGAAGACACAACAATCTCATCTTCTTCATTTGTTTGTTTTGAATATTCATGAGATAAAATGCTGATTGTCCCTCTCCTGCCCATGATGTGGGGGGCAAATTCATATTAGGTACATACTCATTACCAGAAATTGCTTTTGTAAACTTTGTCATCTTCTTTTAGACCTCAATCTTTTTTTCCCCAGAGACTTCAGTTCTGTCTGAGGAGAGCGCTGTTAGCTTCCTCAGACCAACACTGGATTTTACCATAAAGACTGAAAAGAGATTTTTAAGTGTAGAATCCTGTGTCTTAAAAGTGAAGGGGCACTAAAATCACAAGAAATCCTTATCAGTGCTGAGTCTGATGTGCACCTGCAATGGAGGGTGGTCAGATGTAAAATCCACTGGATTTCACTGATCTGTGAATTTGATCCAGCCTCTTCTTACTTCAAATATGAGTTTCAAAGAGTATATTTTAAGGAAAACCCCACTGCGGACTCTGCCCTGAGCCTGTCTGTTAAAGACACAAAAGGTCCTCTGAGCTTCCTCAGGACTCTGATTCTGGTGAGCACAGCAGAGTCATTCTGATTTCATAAGTGACACTCTGACTAGTGTGCATGCGAGAATACGTCCTCCTGCTAAAATGAGATCTTTAATTCAGAAGTGTCACTGGTAAACCCAGAGGCATGAATCTAGAGGGGATTTCTGGGAAACTGTTTGATGAAGAGGAAGCCCAAGAGCACAAACATAAACCAGCACTTACCCTCCACCTGCACCTGCTCCAGGGCTGGCGCTTGCTCAGTGTGTCCTGCGCGCCCCCTGGTGGTCGCGCGTGCCCCTGCATGGAGGTTTGTGTCTTGACACAGACAGACTTCCCCTCACTGTGTCTCTTGCACAGTAATACACGGCTGTGTCCTCGGACTTCACGCTGTCCATTTGCAGATAGACAGTGCTTTTGGAATCTTCTATTGAGATGGTGAATCTGCCTTTCACAGATGCAGCATATTCTGTGCTGTGACTATTAGCTTTGTTTCTAATGAAACTAACAAACTCCAGCCCCTTCCCTGGAGCCTGGTGGACCCAGTCCATGTAGTATTCGCTGATGGTGAATCCAGAGGCCACACAGGAGAATCTCAGAGACCCTCCAGGCTGGACCAAGCCTCCCCCAGACTCCACCAGCTGCACCTCACACTGGACACCTGAAAACACAGAGACGTCCTGGTCAGAATATGACACTCAAATCCGCTCGTTCTCTCACGCACACCCACTCACACATGTTCCTTACTCTCCATAAATCACCTTTTAAAATTGCAATAAGGAAAACCCAGCTCATCCCAATCTCCAGGGTGGGTCGTCTGTGTTCAGTCCTGATCACCGAATGGGAGCTCCTGGGAATCTGGGGCTGAGGCTCGTCTCCCAGATCTGCAGGGTCAGGGCTGGGCTGGTTTTCATCAGCAGAGAGAGGCTCTATTTGCATATTTTCCTGCTATATAGGTAGATATGGGGTCGGACACCTATGAAGGGGACACTTCCTAGAGCATGTGACAGTGCCCACAAAGAATTCTGTGGCAATTGAGAAAGTGTGATTTTTTAAAATAGTGTGTTTGTGCTGTGATATACACAACACTCATAACACTGTTTCATTTTGCCGAAGCACAAAAATCATGTGTTGTGGGTGACAATGTGCCTTCCATTTTACAGATTAAATGGACACCCAGAACTGTAGGGGACATGTGCAGTGTCCAAATGAATTATCAGTGCCATCCCAGTGTCTGGGGCTGTGCTACTCACACTGGATCACATTCCTCCCTGAACACACCCCAGGACAGAGTTGGACCTTCCTAGTGAGGTTTGCAGGACCTTTTTTTCTATAATGAGAACATGTGTGATGTGTTTCATTCTACATTTTATCTAAAAACACATATAGAGCTAGAATCCATTCAGATGAGTTTTAAGAGTCTCTGTCACTTCACACATTTTCATCTATCTTTCTACCACTCTTTCCCTACCCAAGTATCTGTTTATTTGCAATAACTTTAATGAGGTATAATTGACATTTATCAAACTTCACAAAAAGTGTGCAATTAATAATTACTGACTCAGCCAGCATTGTTATCAATACAGTGAACAAATCAATTACTCCCAATATTTATTCTTCTGTAATTTCTCTTTTTTTATTCTT